GGCTGGGGCAGTGCATGCAGTTTGCTGATGGTCGTGTGGCGTATGTTGTAGACTTCACCCCAAGATTTGGACTGTGAAGAATCTTCCGTCTGATTGCTTCAAGCTGATTCCGTGCCGTGCGCCGCTGGGTGGCGTGGTGGTCTTGTCAGCGAACGCCTTCCTGTACTTTAACCAGACACAGTTCCACGGACTCGCCACCAACGTCTTGCGCGAGCAAGACGGTGAACCAGTCGGTGTTCCCCCTTAGCGATGCCGTCTACGAGACTCCAGACCACGAGATGGCGCAGCTCAATATCGTGCTCTATGACTGCCAGTTCGAGTACTTGCACGAGAAGGAAGTTTTGCTGACCATGCCGAATGGGGACGCGTATGTGCTATCTCTTCCGTACGAAGACAGGTCTGTACGGTTTTGGAGGAGCATCGTCCAGCCGGAACGCGTCGTTATCACTGCGAATGCTTCGCTCTGGCATTCAAGCGCATTGACTGTGCGTGAACGAAGAGAAGAAGACGCTGTTTGTGGGCTCACGGTCAGGCGACTCAGTCCTGTATGCATTGGATCAGAAGAAACTTACTAGTGCTGGAGGCGAAGCTTCGAAGCTGCAGGAAGACGAGGAGATGCTGATAAAGGAGGAGGTGGTTAAAGAAGAAGTGACCGCTGAGGTGAAGGCCGAGCCTGCTGAAGAAGAGGAGGAAGACGAAGATGATTTGTTCCTGTGTGGTGCAGCGCCTACGAAAGAAGAGCCCACGACAAGTGGTTCTACGGAGGCTGTGAATGGTACAAATGGATCCGCTGTCAAGAAAGAGGAGAACGGGCACGCTGTTGAAGAAGAAAGCGGTCCGTACGATTATGTGCTCCACCAGATTGATGTGCTTCCAAGCATCGGGCAGATCACGTCGATTGAGCTGAGCATTGAGAACAATGCGGACTCGAATGAGAAGCGCGAGGAGCTTGTTATTAGTGGCGGATACGAGCACAGCGGAGCTATCTCAGTGCTACACAATGGACTGCGTCCGATCGTCGGTACGGAAGCTGAGTTGAACGGCTGCCGAGCAATGTGGACAGTGTCGTCTTCGCTTCCTTCTGCGACAAAGAGCTCCGATGGTCGCAGCTACAATGCGTACCTGATTTTGAGTGTTGCTCATAGAACGATGGTGTTGCGAACTGGAGAAGGCATGGAGCCCCCAGACGGGATGTTGTGCAGCGTGATGGCGATGCCACTAAGGATGCCCATGCGCTGCAGCTTCTGCTTGGCGGCCTCGTCCATCTTGACGAAGCCCTGCTCTCGTGGCGACTCCAGCAGCGCGCTGTCCTGGATACTGCCTCGGAGGGACCCTTGCATCTCGACACTGTTGTTAGAAATCTGCTTAGGGGTCTCGGGGTCGACCCCAGGCGTGAGCTTCTACACCACTAAGTCCACCGCGTAGACGATCAAAATCCCAACGCCCAGGCAAACCGTTGCGGCGAGCCACGACTGGCCGTCGAGTGTGTCGCCACTGTTCACTTCGGGTTGGAAGGCGGAGTTGAACTCGAGCACGGAGAAGCCGAAGAGGATGACGAGGGACATGAACACCGTGACTCCACCGGAGACGCTGAGCGTCGTCGACAGCGCCATGGGAGTGGCCAAGCGGAGCGTGCGCGGGCTGCAGACGACCAAGCCGCCCACCACGGTGGCGAACGCTGCCGCGAGGTTGAGCTGGAACGCGGTCGCGATGTAGTTGTCACCGCCTGAGCTCATAGTGTGACTTGGTCTTGCTCTGGGAGAGCACGTTCTTGAATGGAGGAAGCGGTCATCAGGCTCGAGACCGCACTGAAGTGTATCGTCGCCTCGAAACCACGTGCCATCCACACATCCGTCCTGGCTGTAGTAACTAAAAGGCGCAGTGGTAATGCTCCAAGTTGATTCAAGTGGCCCGAAAGGACCAGCTACAGGCGTTATGCACAGCGCTTTCTTTCGTGTGTATCGGGGTGATATCTCGGCCGCAACTGGCCATCAGGTGGGTGCGAGAGCTCTGCCTATTAGCCGCCTCGTAGAGAGCAGCGCGAGCTAAGTGACTTGAAGAACTTTCTCTAAGGCAGCTTGGTGATGACACGGGAAGCAGAGGCCACTATGTAAGCCCTGGGGATGAGTTCTCTCAATTGTGTTCGTCACTGGCCAATGCAGCCAGCAACAAGCAACAAGGGTGTGGTTGAGTTGCAGGCGCCACCAAGATCAGCCACTTGTCAGTTTTTCGAGGACCACCCTGGGTAACGAGCTGGCTATGAATGGCGAGTCCGGAAGCCCATTTTAGCTGCACATACTGCTATTTCCCCGTTGAACAGCATCGAAGACGAGGTTCTTGGCATCTAGCTATTTACAGCAAGAGGACAGTGCTGCATATTTTTGACTGCACCTCCAGTGATTTCACAGTCATTTGACCTCGGTCGACCGCGCTTCGAGGCAACGAGAGTCGGATTCGACCATCCGTTCAGGCATCAGTGACGAAAGCAGCTTTTGTCGGCATGGGTAGCGCTTCAGATCCCGACAACATGCAGCCTCCACTAGCTTCGAAGAGGGTTGAGCCGAACATCAAACCGATAATCGCTCCCGCTCGTACGCCCGAGCTCAAATCAGAGGTCAGCGCACGCCGGCTGAGCAGAACTCCACCATTGGCGACACCAGAGCGACGGCCTTCGATTCGTCAGAGCGCGTTTGTTCGAGGCACGAAGCGCCTCGTTCGTCGGTACTACGCGTGGAAAAGCACCCACCAGTATTTGGGGCGATACACCGTCGACAAGCTGCTGGCCTTTGAGGAGTACCAACGCGTTGCCAGCCCCCTGCGAGTCTTCGCCGTCATCGCGCTAACGCCTCTCCCCGGTTTGTTGGCCATCGTGTTGATTGCAGCGATCCCTCTCGAGAGCCCCCTGAAGGGGGTAAGCGCGAACGCCAGCTACTTCGTGCAGTCGGCTCTCGCGTACACCGTCATGACCCTCAGTTTGCTCTTCTTCATCCGCGGTGCGCTTCAGCTACCCCAAAGCGTCTACTCTCACCGCCAGTGCTTCTCAATCGGATTATTGACTGCGGGTGGCAACGAGCTTGCCATGGTCGGTCTGTCGATTATTTGGGCGTTCCCTTTGCCGTTCCGTGACTTCGTCGGGATCCCAACATTCTTCACACTGCTGACAGCCACCCACGTTTGGACACTGAGGTCGAGGCTGCGTCACTACTACCGGAAGATGATCAGGTACATCCCTCTCGTGTGTGCGCAGGCCTCCACGCTCTTCATTTTCCAGGGGTTGGAGATATTGTTCGCCAATGTCCCTCAAGAAGCCCAAGGCGTGATCACCGTCACGTTTCCGCTTCTGCGCGCGTTCATGAAGCGGATGATCTGGACCTTCGCAGACTGCCTAGACGACATCAGCACGGACGTGACGGTCTGTGTCGTGGAGATTTTCGGCTCACTTTTCCAAAATGTCTGCGTGCAGAACGCGCGATCGCCTGCAATCGGTGCGCTTATCATCATCGTCGACTTCGCCCAAGCGCTTTTGGAGGTGTACATGTATCTCAACCACAAGTTCATAGTGGACGGGTCTTGCGCTATGACCACCGCCGTACGCATTGTCGAGAGCTCGCTGTACCCCACCGTGCTAGCTTCCACAGCAGCCACCGACCGATCAAAGCCTGATCCAAATGAAGCAGCACTGGACATCTCGCACAAGGGCAACTCCAAGATGTTGTCCTTCGAGGAAGCCTTCCCTCAACCCAAGATGACCAACGTCACTTTGCCCAAACGGAAGTCTAGAATTCTGGCAGGAACCCAGATGGTGGACCTGGGGTCAGTGAACCCTGCTGTAGTGACCGCAGACCCGACTGCCGGTAGGCCTCCACTCATCTCCCCAGCCTCGGTAGCTGGAGGCAAATCGACACGAAGAGCGTCCGTGGACGACATCGATATCACACACCGAGAAAACGCAAAGCTCCTGAAGCAAACGCTGCAACTTTTGTTCTCTTCCGAAGTGCTGGTCTTCGCTGAGTTTGCTGAGTTCTCGTGCTCTGTGGTATATGGGCTCTACACGATCACGCTCTACCACATGCCGTACGCCAAGTACAACCTGTCGTTCATTGGATTGAGCGAGAAACAGTTTTGGAAATCAGTGGGCAATACCGCCGTTTACTGTGTTCTTGAAGGATTTACGCTGCTGTTCCTCTTCACACTCATGCGCGGAAAGTATGGCATATCGACTTTGCACCAGCTCGCTTTCGTTCTGGAAAAGTATTGGATGAGCGTGCAAGGCAAAATGTGCGGCAGCCTCTCGCTGATTTTCATCCTCAACACCGTTCATCATGGTACGCACAGGTTCTTGATGAATAGCTTTTTTCCGTACTAACGTTACTTCATTTTCTTTTGCATGAAAACTGCTTAGGCATGGATCTGTCGTTGGAGTTCAACTGGGAAAAAGTGCTAAACGGCACAACAGAAGCTTAATTAACTCTACCACCCGCGCAACTAGAAAGTGAAATGAATAGTAGTCGTTCAGATCAACTATTGCTACTAGCATAATGCTGTCAAGAGCCACCGTTCATGAGCCGTAGGGCTTTTATTGTCGACAGATCTATAAGCTGTGGCATTGAAATTTTGACCATGTAAGTACATACAAAATCCGTGGATACGTATGGACTCCTGTTTTTTTTATTCACAGGTCGAAGACCTGTGCTTGGCCCCGGCAAAAAACTTGTAACTTTCCAAAACTGGGTACCAAACCGGGTCTCTCTTTCTTAATTGTAATGTTTAAACTAATATCTGCCGGAATCGGGTACCCGTCGATAACTGCTAAGATTTATGCGCATTATTTACCAAAGGTTGATACTAATCGTTTTATTATTTACCAAAACCGGCATCAAACACTTACGGACGTTCCAGTACACTGCGTCATGGCTTCGCTGAAGGCGTATCAATTTGCGCCATAATCGACCAAGCTTAGCTGAAGATGACCAACATGACTTGTCTAGGTGCAGGCTGCATTTTTTTACATGTCAATTTGCTCAATACCCAATCACTCCTAGCCGAAGATGGCCAACCTCGTGTCTGTCGCCAAACCAATCAGCTCAACTCGACAGTGACACGAGCATCGTTCGTTTCAACAAGACTTTTTTTCCCTGCGTTGAAGCACCCACTTCCAAGGAATTGGCCCATTAGCGTATTTCTCATTCCGCAACTTACCCCCCCCCCAGCCCTCAAGTTAAAAGTTTGTTTGTTTGTTTTGTTTTTGAATTGAGGATCATTATTGTCACTTAGCTATAATAACATCCTCAAGTGAAAAGGTCAAGATCAACGCACCATGCGTCTCTCCTTCGTCCCGCAACTGTAGCTTTCTCGTCTGATCGTTAGCACAGAAAGAGACGCGCTATTAAGAAGTCAGATGCAACACCTTAGCTAGCCAGGCAACTCGCGCTATTAAAAGTGTAATGCAATTTGATTATCAGATCGTTAGCACATAACATAGTACAAAAATGAGCACGGTATACCTTACCTGCAAAATGAATGAAATAGCTCTCTCGTTGCTGGCGCCAACGCAGCCATTGGAGATGACCAGGGTGTTATGTCACCGATGGCCTCATCAGACCAGGCAACCTCAATTGGTGACTTTCGGTTCCTGAGAACCCACCACGATAAAGAAGAGCGGGGCTTGCTGGTTACCAGCCTCACAAAAGGTTTGGCTCAAACATCATTTCCGTATCGATACACTTCGATGTGTGCACCTATTTGTTCAATTACGCATTCTCGGGCAGATGCTGCGGCTGCGAAGCAGGCGCAGTAGATGCCCTCGTTAGAGTCAACTAAAGCGTTGGGCTGGTAGTGCCTTTTTAAAGGATTAAAAACTATACAACTTTGTGATTTACTCAATTATTATCCGTTATCATCGTCCATGAAACTATTCTATGTCGACCTGTGTACCCTCCCGGAGCAATGCCTATTATTCACAGGCCGGCAGAAATGTTTTGTAACTTACCGAAACCGGGTATCTTCTATCTGAAAGAGAGTACTGGTTAACCTAATCAATTATATCGAATAGCTACGAATGGCTACAAGTATTACTCTGCAGCTCAGCGGTTGTTTGCTAACTTTCACACAAAATCCTAAGGCTACCACTAAAAGCTATGATGCTATACTCAATTCTGTGCCAAGGATTTCACGACTACACTATGCTGCGAGTCCGCTGAAGCATACTTTATCACTGGGCAGCTCTTGTCAATATCTCGTGCTATCATGTCGGCTAGCTCGAGCTACGTAAGCTGTACACCTCAAATGTTGAAAGCTTAGTACATCGTCTCACATTATACGCGTTCGCCAAACATGGAACGGATTATAGGTGACATTCTGGCCCATAACGAGCTCTGTTTCGGATGTAGACGATGCGATGAGTTGCGTAAATTAAATTAAAGAGAGAGAGAGCGATCTATCGTCCTGGTGGATGAGCAATTTCCGAACTGCAACTCAATCGGAGGGGGGATTATCGCTCGATTATGGTTCGTGCCCACGGTAGGGCTGCTCACGATAGAGCGTTTGGTTCGTGCCCACGATAGGGCGTGGTCAGGCGGGTATCGATTTACCGCGCTGCAGCGAATCGAAAAGTAAGCTCGACCTACTCCGACTCGTGGCCTCGTGCTCTGGTTCTAATGACTACCTATCCACCTAACTAACTAACTGCTAAGGTTGGTTTCCTTGGATCTCGTTGCAACTGGAAATAAGGTTATCCATTTAGGACTAACCCGCCATGCCGCTCATTTTGTGAAACTCTGACGATTGCTACTAAGGCTTCGCGGGGGCTGGGATAGCTCGTTCATACTTGTCTAATCCGCTTTGCAAGCTACTTCGGTGCGGCGCACATGCTGCGCACCAGTCACTCTCTGGATACTTAGATACTTGCCCCATTCAATATGATAATGGCATCAAAATTTATAGCAGCAGGGTTGCGTGCTTCAGCCCTGTTGGGGGAATGAGCACATCTCTTTCCGTGTAAAATTGTTTTGGACTACATACATCACTTTGTGAATCTATCTGCGAATATCGGTATCTATCCAGGGTGCACTTCAACTTGAGTATCCTTAGCTTCCGGTTAAGCTTCGATGTACCAATATATCAATTACGTATACAGCTGTGCCAGCTGAAGCCTATCATCATGTGAAACCTCATGAATGGTTTCGAACAATGAGCTACCAAAAATCTGCGTGCTTTTGACGATCTGCAATAGCTCTCTCTCTCTCTCTCTCTCTCTCTCTCTCTCTCTCTCTCTCTCTCTCTCTCTCTCTAAGTTTCCAGTTTCCAGGCCAAAATGAGACACTAGTCGTCCTCAGTATCTTCTTGATGTAGTTCAACCAGGGCTTCGCATTAACCACCTTTTGAGCTGTACCACTACAGGTAATACGGATGAATGGTGTGCATTATTATAGTAGCATGCTGCACAGAAATAGACAGGGTGTGTAGTAATACAGTACTACAGTAGTAGATACAGCAGTAGTCTAATGAGCTCCCAAAGATTTACTAGGATAAACTATAGTATCCACATAAGTGCGATTCACAGCTAGTAAGTACGAATTGAGAACTGACCGGATACGATTGATCTCGGAATCAAGTCGGCGGAGTTGGAAGTAGATGGATGCTGCTTTGTAGTTTGCTGTTATACTGTTGTGTAGTCTACTGTAGAGTCGTGTGCATTTCGTAGAGAACTATAATGAATGAAAGTATAGGATGGAGCGCGTTTCGGTGGTTCGATATCTCGGTCGACAGCAGGAGTCCTATTCAAGCCCATTGCATGCTAAAGTGTTGGGATTCAATGCCATTTCCGGCCACTCTACGTTCTGGTAGACATGGCCCCGTCTGTATTACGACCGTAATAATACAAACTACGACTATAGTATGCAGCTAATACATAAGCCAGATAGTGGTGCACCCAGTAGCAATACAGTAGGCATGGGGTGTTGTATTAATACCGTATTGAGCATTACCACTTAATGCGAAGCCTTGAGTTCAACACCCAATATACTCGACTTAGTCGACTGTCAGCAAACGATTTATTTAGCAACTATTCATTCTTGCCAGCAACGTTATCGTGCTACTGTAATGTTCATCAATTAATTTCTGAACCCTTATTAATAGAAATGGCTCCAAGTCGGGTTCGCATACAAGACTAACTTGCGATTTGAACATGTTTCGCTGAGGTCGAGCCATTAATGCTGGTAAATACCAGTTACACAGGTCAACTTTCGATTAATTCGACCTGTGTACTCTCCCGGAGCGACCTATTCACAGGTCGAAGAGCTGTGCTTAGCCGGCAGAAAATTTTTGTAGCTTTCCAAAACCGGGTACCTAACTGGGTCTTTCTTTCTTAATGACCAGGGTGTTATGTCACCGATGGCCTAATCAGACCAGGCAACCTCAATTGGGGGCTTTCGGTTCCTGAGAACCCACAACGATAAAGAAGAGCGCGGCTTGCTGGTTACCAGCCTCACAAAAGGTTTGGCTCAAACATCATTTCTGTACCAGTACACTTCGATGTGCGCAACTATTTGTTCAATTACGCATTCCGGGGCAGAAGCTGCGGCTGCGAAGCAGGCACAGTAGATACCCACGTTAGAACCAACTAGAGAGTTGGGCTGGTATCTAGTGTTTTTAAGAATTAAAAACAGTATAAGTTTGTGATTTACTCAATTATTATCCGTTATCATCGTCCATGAAACTATTCTATGTCGACCTGAGTACCCTCCCGGAGCAACGCTCCGGGTTGCCTATTAAAACTGCGAATCAATGCCTATATCTTGTAGACTTTTGCAGCAAAACCACCGAGATCGGAGGCGGTCTGAACAACCCAGTCCGATTACCGCGACACAGGCCACTTGTAGATTCGGTGGTTGTATCTGTAATCCACAAACATTTGCGCAATGCGTTTGTTCTTCAGAGTCTTCGGTCCAATTATCTGCACCAGCCAGTCCAACTTGATTTTGTCCCACTGCTTGAACATAACATCCCTGAATTGATTGTTCTTCACCATTTCCTTGAGCGTCGCCTTGGAGTACGCGCTGAGGACGCCGTTCGCAAAGTCCTTGGAGACATCTCTAAACCCAAGCAGCTTCTTGTAGTCAAGCCGTTTCTTGAAGTCGAAGGCGCGGTCTTCATCCTGCCTTCTTGTAACTCCGCAAATGCCTCCGACTCTGGCTTTCAGACGGCACTGCATCCTCTTGGTGTGTCGGGCTCGCGTTATCCAGTTCCGCAAGGCCAAAGGCAGCATGGCAGTGCACCACGAGAATGACTGCAACCAGCAGCAACACGTGGCCTAGACACATGAGTGTTTTTGCTTGGATTCTAGGTGCTTGAGCTCTAGGGGTGGAATTCGATAATCAGGGCACTCTCAGAGGGTGTCACATCCTTCCAGCCCGCCGATGAAGATCTTGCCGGTTCTGTGCATTACGCTACAAGCGCATGCTTCACGCTATCGTGCGGTACCACTCAGAGATAAGCATCGTTGTTAGCAGGAAGGGACTGTACTGGTGAGAAACCTGCTGTACTTGATGGAATTTGCAGACCAAGTCTGTATTAGGTATCGTAGTCATTATTGTGAAAACCGATTAGTTTGTCCTGCTAGTAAAGCGCCACTAACAGAGGGTTTGGAGTCTGCTAAATCGGGGATGTCTCAATTATAATCGGAGTATAAATCGTTCATCGGTCTCATAATTATGTTCAGCCTAGCAATTTCGATCAGCATGCATGTACTTCGGCCGGAGACTCGCCAAGTCCAGCGGCAACACCGCGTCGCCTGGATATCTCCGCTTCATGTATTATAGGGTGCGGCTTTTCGTGCTTAGTTCTGATGTTAGTGTTGTAGCCTTGACTACCTAGCCAAGAGCGACTGCAGCAATTGTTGTCTGGCGGCTGATTTAGCCTACAAGAAGCGAATGCTGGTTGCACATCGGACATTCCGTCTGAATAGCAAGCAAACCAGCCGGCTCTGGCTTAATCGGCCGATTAGCAAATGCAAATCCGACTCATATGCTCTGACTCTGTATATCGTCCTTGGTTTTAATCTTGAGTACAAATCGAGGTACCCCAGTCTAATTAGGAGGTCGAATTTATCAAATCGGTGGTCGTCGGTCACATTAAGCCACTAAATCGGCGGATTAACAACCCGACAAGACATTCTATTCGGTTTTCACAATAGATGAAGCTCTCTCAATACTTCTTGTATCGGATAGCGTACCTCTAAGGCGCTTATACCTGGAACATTGATACCGCAATTTATACAGTTAGCACAAGTCGAT